TTCCTCCTGATGTGGCTGTAAAGCAGTTTTGGGTGAGACTTGACTTTCGATGCTATGTCGTTTTCGTATTGCCGCTGGACCTCCCTCCTTATCTGTGCATAGTCTTTTCTGGCTCATAGACTAATCTGTCTGTTTTCCTGGGTCCTTTGCTTTCTGTATTTTTTCCATTCTCTAGCACACTTAGGTTTTGCCTTCCTACACCTTCGGGTAAACCAAGGGCTCATTCTAGTCTTCCCATTATTTCTGTTACCCTTGGGAACAAACCTTTCCTCTGCCTCCTTGCATTTTGTTGCTACATAGTTCATCATTTCATTTACTGACTTTCCTACCATCTTTCCCACTGAACCTCTTGCAGGAAGGTCCTCATACCTGTGCAGTCCCCCCTTTTATACTTTGGCTTTTCTCTCTCTACTCCTGTTGCTCTCTCCATTTGTAGCTCTACGATGTATTCAAAGCTCAGAACCACTTGGTCACTAGCTCTAAGGGGCCTTTCATTTGTGATGTCCTCGATGTCTGAGCTACTCAGGGTGAACACAAGGTCCAGTCTTGCTGGTTCATCTTCCCTTGTGTGTGTGTGTGTGTGTGTGTGTGTGTGTGTGTGTGACCTTTTTCAAGCTATGCAAACGGCTCGCAAAATGCTCAAGCAAGCAATTAGCAGTGAAGCAATAGGTCAGACAGTGTTTTGCTGGTGAACGCTCTGGTCACTCATCAGAATCAAAAGCAGACAATATCGAAAAGTGAGGAAGGTTATTCAGGAAGATCGTTGTCAGTCTCTCCAGAACATTGTAAATGCTGTGAGAAATTTTGTATGGATTGTGTCAAAGCATTTTGACTGAAAATTTGAACACGAGGTGAGTGGCTGCGAAATTTGTGCTCTGCTGCTGACTTAAGACGATGAAGACTATCCTTGTATGGCCCAAAACATGGCGGTCGTCACTACCCTCCCTACCCCTCAGATCTAGCTCCCTGTGACATCTTTTTGATATTAAAAATAAAAATGACTCAAGGAGCGGTGTTTTTTTTTTTTACGACGTGAAAAAGATTCAAGCAGAATCACAGGCTACACTAAACTCCGTTAAGAAAGACGAGTCCCAGAGATGTTTAGTGTCATAGACGCTGGGATCAGTGTATAGCCTCCCAAACAAAGTACTTCCATATATATATTTTTTTCGCGGCAATCCAGGAACTGTCTGAGAGCACCTCGTATGTGTGGAGACGGCCGACTTGTTAATATATATATATATATATATATATATATATATATATATATATATATATATATATATATATATATATATATATATATATATATATATATATATATATATATATATAGGTAGTAGGTTGGTAGACAGCAACCACCCAGGGAGGTACTACCGTCCTGCCAAGTGAGTGTAAAACGAAGCCTGTGATTGTTTTACATGATTGTAGGATTGCTGATGTCTTTTGTCTGTCTCATAAATATGCAAGATTACAGGCATGTCTTGCTACTTCTACTTACACTTAGGTCACACTACACATACATGTACAAGCATATATATACACACCCCTCTGGGTTTTCTTCTATTTTCTTTCTAGTTCTTGTTCTTGTTTATTTCCTCTTATCTCCATGGGGAAGTGGAACAGAATTCTTCCTCCGTAAGCCATGCGTGTTGTAAGAGGCGACTAAAATGCCGGGAGCAAGGGGCTAGTAACCCCTTCTGCTGTATATATTACTAAATGTAAAAGGAGAAACTTTCGTTTTTCCTTTTGGGCCACCCTGCCTTGGTGGGATACGGCCGATGTGTTGAAAGAAAGAAAGAAAATATATATATATATATATATATATATATATATATATATATATATATATATATATGTATATATATATATATATATATATTACATATATGCAATAAGATGACAGTAAACAGGTGATTTTAAATTATGCAAAACAACCACTATGAAAGAGTAGTGAAATTCCAAGCGCTTTCGTGACTACTCACATTGTCAAGGAACTGTGAAAGTAATGCATCAATGGAAGGCAATAAAAAGGGCTTTGACCACACGTCACAGTCAACTCCCACAACAAAGAAACACCTGACGCGAGACAATATCGGACTCATAAGAAAAGAGGAACACTGCAGTAGGTCCGCTGGTCCAACTAGACAGGTCCTCACGACAACCCACCAACAAATCATTCTACCAAAGAAATAAGGTTTATTATTTGTCCAATGTATTATTAAACTCGAACCAAATTTTATTAATTATAAATGAATCTAATTTATACAAACCTAAGGAAATATTCATATTTTCAAAACTGCTTTTTATGAAACAAGATTCAATTATATTTCTGTCGACCATGGACTTGCTTGATACAACTTTCTCAACTTTTTGAAAATCAATTGGATGGTTGAAGTCTCTCACATGAATAAATAGAGCATTGGAATCTTGTCCAGTTCTAATGCTATATTTATGTTGTTTTAATCTAAGTTCGAGACTTTTACCAGTTTGACCGTAATAAACTTTATCGCAAATTTTACAAGGAATCTTAGACACATCCGTCAGCATTTTGGGGGGAATTCTTTATCAAAAGTTTTTTTTTTACTGTATCAAGATTTTTAAATACAACTTTAATATTAAAAGTCTTAAGGCATATCAACCAAGTTTTCATGGTAAGGGAGAACCAACATATTTTTAGTTGAATAAGGTTGGTTGTCCCTTTTTGGGTTGTAAAAAGTATTTCTTGCAATTTTAAATGATTTATCAATTACATTCCTCGGGTATTTCAGATCATTGGCTATTTCATAAATTTTGGATATTTCTTCATCTATGAACTCAGGACTACAAATTCGTAAAGCTCTCAAAAACACTGATGAGAAAACAGACAGTTTAACTTTATCTCGATGGGAAGAATGATAGTGTACATAGGAACAGTTATTTGTAGGTTTTCTGTAAATTTTAAATTTGAATTCATTATTACTCTTAATAATTAAAACATCTAGAAAAGGCAGTGAGTGATTTTCCTCAAACTCAACAGCAAAGTTTATAGAATGGGCTAAGCTATTTAATTTGCCAAGGAAATGGTGTATATCTACATTCTTGGGCATAAGACATAAAATATCATCGACATTTATGAACCATTTTGCTCTCTTAGGGAGGATTGTGTTAAGCAATCTTGTTTAAAAAAATTCCATGTATAGATTACTAAGAACAGGTGAAAGAGGATTCCCCATTGCCATATCAAATTTCTGAGTGTAAAATTTATTAAATACAAATTTTGCATCAACAATGCAAAGTTTAATAAGTTTAATGATAGTAGGAACTGGTAATGGTAAATCATAATTAACGAGTTCTTCAGATAAGAAACTTAATAAATCATCAACAGGAACTTTCGTAAACAAGGAAGTAACATCAAAACTAACCATTTTAAAATCATTTAAGTCAGTCAAGGAGCTTAATTTATCAACTAAATCTAAGTTGTTTTTAACATTGAAGTTTGAAATTTTACCAACAATATGGCTCAAAATGTCAACAAGCCATTTGGATAATTTATACGAAATTGATCCTATGGAGCTAATAATTGGTCTGATTGGATTACCTGGTTTGTGTGTTTTTATTAGTCCATACATGTAAGGTAAAGATGGATTAGTGGAAGTAAATTGTTTAATTAATTCATCTTTGCCTTTTAGTAGAAGTTTTATTGTTTTATTGAAATTGCTGTTAACGGTTTCTAAGGGATTCTTTCTAAGTTTAGAATAGGTTTCAGTATCATCTAAGAGATTATTAATTTTTTCTTGGTAATCATTTTCTTTCATAATTACTATTGCATTTATTTTATCTGCTTTGGTAAGGCGCAAATTTTTATTATTGTTAAGTGTATCATAAGACTTAAAGAATCTTTGAGGGCAATTGGGGATGTTTTGTTTTAACATAGAGCTATATACCATTCCCTTACTAATATTAATTTCATCAGTGGATAAATCAGAAGATTTTTCAAAGGTGATATCAGAATATGCAAAACAACCACTGTGAAAGAATAGTGAAATTCCAAGTGCTTTCGTGACTTCTCACATTATCAAGGAACTATAATGTGAGAAGTCACGAAAGCGCTTGGAATTTCACTATTCTTTCACAGTGGTTGTTTTGCATATTCTGATATCACCTGTTTGCTGTGATCTTATTGCGCATGCATATATATTATATATATATATATATATATATATATATATATATATATATATATATATATATATATATATTATATATATATATATATATATATAAAATGTGCCGAATAGGTAAAACTGGTCAATTAGCAAGAACTCGTTCAAGTTAAAATCGTCTCTAAAATTTTCTCTTATACCTTTAAAGATACATTTTTTTCATTTATGTTAATGTAAAAAATTAATAATTTTGTACAAAAGAACCTTAGAATACTTACCTAACCTTATTATAACAATAATATAATTTATCCTAATCCAGCTAAACATATTTTAGATAAGTTTATAATTAATAATAAACAAACTCAAATATATTTTTTTCCTTAGGTTCAGAATGATTTTTGTGAAATTATTGCATACACAAATTTTCGCTTGCCTTATTCGGCAATAAAAGCGTTGCTGTTTAAGCTAGAATGAAACAATTGAGGCTGCCGTAACTGATGAACCCTTCCTGGAATATTTGACGATATCCTCGTTGCCTTTCTGAAATCTGAGCTCAGGCTGACAAATTTCAACACCTTGTATGAACCCCATCTTGCGTGATGGAATATGACGGGAAAGCATAGCCGTAGCTTTTGTTCCCACTGTGCAGCTATCATATAGAAGACTGTAACAGCACACTGCTGATATACTGAGTGCCTACAAAGTGTGTGTATTAGTGGTGGTTGTGAGTGGTGGTGAGGGACACCCCTTGGTGGTGGTAGATGCGTGGTTTTCTTTGAATTTGTTAAGAAAATTAAAATACATTAATTCACTTGGCGAGTTATTCCATATATTTGACTCTTTTATGTGGCGAACATGGACTATCAGGTGATGTCTGGGTATAATGTTAGATTTCCAAGGAAGTGTCTTAGTTCAGCATCAACACTACCAACAAGTCTATACGCATATTATCTTTTGATTGCCCAGTTCCTGGTCCGAGACCAAGCCCTTGGAACCATCAAGTGGAATAAAATAGTATTTGTATACTTTTGCTGTAACTGCCAAGGTCAAGTTAACTTATTTTTTATATACGAAATAAACTTTATTGATAATAAATACAGATTATTTTACAAAAAAGCATAGTAAATTTTTAAATGTGTGTGTGTATTGTCAACATAGTATTTTATAAACAATGCTGATAAATTGAGGAAAGTAAACTATACTAGTCGAACATCGTATCGTGATGCATTTACTTGTATTTATATTTTAGTGTAATGCACACCGATTGTATTATTCTTTAAGCGATCTGTCTTATTTATTTATAACTTGTTTTGCAGGGAATGTCCGCCCTATGTAAGAGAGTACGTGGGTCACCGGGTGTGGACGGAGATCAGGAACCCTGGCATCAATGGTGACGACCACGACGACGTTGATGCCGGCACCAACAACACCAACCAGAGTAAGTTATCACTATCTCTCGTACTGCAGTTCTCAGGATATATTATCGGACACAGGTTATATAAGGATAGCACGTTCAGTGGTGGCAGCATCCTGGCAGGGGAACTGTAACAAGCAACCACTGACGTGGAATGAGACATAAGTGAAACATCTGGTTATCTCTATTTGTAGACGTTTCGTCATCCAATGGTTTTATAAATACAAATTCAAGGACATAATGGAAGGACTGCAGAATTTAATGCAAAAGACGAGGTAATCAGTCCCTCAGCCTTGGGGTTGGTCATGAGCAGTAGTCTTGATGTGATCTGCTGTTCATGGTACTGTCATTACCTGTTTGTTTCTAGATGAGCAGAGTTATGCTCGTGGTGTCCTGTTTTTTGTATTAGTAACTCTAATGACAGATGCAAATGTGATATCCGTTGGCTCCTGTTGCGGGTCATGGCACAGCAACCGTTGCCTTACCGGTTTAATTACAACCTGCAACCTTGTATCTGTCCAGGACCCCTAGCTGGATGATCAATATTGTAAAGCGTTTCCAAGTCACTGCGTAAGATTCAGAAATGTGCGGGATCTCCTTTGGCCTAGCTTGACGTGTTTCTGGAAAATTCTACCTGTGACATACCTGTGGACAGTTTAGAGAGGAATTCTGCAGTCGATGACCAGACTGAAAGTTCAGGGGTTCACTAGTTTGTATTAAAATGTAAAATTTCCCCAAACCGTGTGTTGAGAGAACACTAAGACTCTTATTTCAGTACTACGGAGACTTCAATACACGAAAAGTACTGAACCAGATCATCACTTCTTTTTTACAATATATCACTAAATGTGTTATTTTTATGCATGTTGTCGCTTAAAATAAATATGTCCGCAACGCCTCAAACCGTTCTGAAATATCGTTATGTACAAATTAAACCACATTGATTAGATGGTCAACCAGCTTGTTGGGGCCCATAAGCGGCCTATATAACCAAAACAACCTGGCTTCAGGAAACAGACCAATTTTATCTTTAAGACGTTTCCCGCTTATCTGCGACTTTGTTTTTACCTTCGGTGGAAAAATCGTCACTTACACAGTATCCAGAGTGTTAAAGTCTGAAGTTATCACTGATCCTGTTTTTATAAATCTTGACAGATAGGCCTACCCAGGTTTTTCTATAAAGTACCACATTAGCTGGTTTGTTAAAGCTGTGTGGGCAGGCAGTGTGCAGGCAAAAATAGCCTAGCTGATGGGTGATAGTCAGCAAAGTTTGGCCATTAGCCTGATTACGGGAATAGAAAAAACTAAGTATGTTATAGGTATATCATAGAAGTATCGATTCCAAGATGTAGCTATGAGGTGTATGAATGTAGATTTGTAGTTCACTCAGTGTACAAGTTTCTGACACACTTGTTGAGTCTTCTGAGGTACATAGTACGTGGTAACGTGCGTTTGTGACCTACTGTATGCCTCGGTGGTGGAGTGCTCGACTCACAATAGAAGGCACCCAGGTTCGATTCCTAGGCGGGGCGAGGCTCGAGTCTCTTACATCTAGTGCGCCTGTTCACCTAGCAGTAAGGTACCTGTTTGTCGATTGTTGTGTTAAATATTCGGTGTTCTCCATGTTCTTGAGAGCTCTGTATATTTGTACTCCAGAGGTCATAGATGAAGAAATAATGAAGATATGTGAAATAGCATATAATCAACAGTATCCAAAAATTTTCTTGACAGATCTATATTTTTTTTTCTAGAAACACATTTACTATACAAGGGGGTAAAGAGGAGGGGAGGGAGTTGTAGTATTCCCTAGATAGTCACAAGTTAGTGAACGCAATATTCAAATATACAGTTTTCAGTAGGTGGACTGACGTAAGAAGCATTCAATTGCACAAGTCCTTGAGCTATCACTATTTGTTCTGTCAGCCCGTCATTGTTTGTCTGTCTCGTTATTCACTTAACTCCTTCCATTTTTGTGTGTTTGCCCCTCTTACGTTTAATAAAATGTTAATCGGCATATAAATCTGACCTACGGATTCTCCGAGCTGTAAAATGAAATATGACCAATTTAAATGAAGTAAGGTATTATTATTACCCATGACTTAACGGACTTGCATGATGAACCATATACTTTATTGATTTCTTCATGTAAGATAATTTATTTGATTGGTAAATTATTTTATTATTTATTAACACATCAGCCGCTTCCCACCAACGCAGGGTGGCCCGGAAAAGAAAATCTTTTATCATTCACTCCATCACTGTCTTGCCAGAGGCGTGCTTACACTACAGTTATAAAACTGCAACGATAACACCCCTCCTTCAGAGTTCAGACACTATTTCCCATCTCCAGGACTCGAGTCCGGCCTGCCGGTTTCCCTAAATCCCTTCATAAATGTTACCTTGCTTACACTCCAACAGCACGTCAAGTCCTAAAAACCACTTGATTCCATTCACTCCTATCAAATACTCTCACACATGCTTGCTGGACGTCCAAGCCCCTCACACACAAAGCCTCCTTTACCCACCTCCAACTTTTCCTAGGCCGACCTCTACCCCGCCTTCCCTCCACTACAGATCTATACACTCTTGAAGTCTTCTATTTTGTTCCATCCTCTCTACATGTTCAAACCACCTCAACCCTTCCTCAGCCCTCTAGATAATAGTTTTGGTAATCTCACACCTTCTAATGTCCAAACTATATATTCACACCACACATTGCCCTCAGACATGACATCTCCACTGCCTCCAGCCTTCTCCCTGTTGCAACATTCACCACCCATGCTTCACACCCATATAAGAGTGTTGGTATAACTATACTCTCATACATTCCACTCTTTGCTTCAACGGACAATGTTCTTTGTCTCCACAGACTCCTAAGTGCACCACTTACCCTTTTCCCCCTCATCAGTTCTGTGATTCACCTCATCCTTGACAGACCCATCTGCTGACACGTCTACTCCCAAATATCTGAATACATTCACCTCCTCCATACTCTCTCCCTCCAATCTGATATCCAGTCTTTCATCACCTAATTTTTTTTGTTATCCTCATCACCTTACTCTTTCCTATATTCACTTTTAATTTTCTTCTTTTACATGCCCTATTAAACTCATCCACCAACCTCTGCAACTTTTTCGAATATCCCAAAAGCACAGTGTTATCAGCCGAGAGCAACTGTGACAACTCCCACTTTGTGTTACATTCTTTATATTATAACCCCACACCTCTTGCCAACACCCGCGCATTCACTTCTCTTGCCACCCCATCTATAAATATAATGAACAACCTGGTGACATCACACATCATTGTCTAAGGCCTACTTTTACAGGGAAATAATCTCCCTCTCTTCTGCATACTCTAACCTGAGCCTCACTATCCTCATAACTCCTCACTGCTTTCAGTAACCTACCTACTATACCATACACCTGCAACATCCGTCACATTGCCCCCGTCCCCCAATCCACCCTGTCATACGCCTTTTCCAAATCCATAAATGCCACTAAAACCTCTTTACCCTTATCTAAATACTGTTCACCTACATGTTTCACTGTAAACACTTGGTCTACACACCCCCTACCTTTCCTAAATCATCCTTGTTCATCTGCTATCCTAATCTGTCTTACTCTTAATTCTTTCAATAATAACTACCATACACTTTACCAGGTATACTCAACAGACTTATTCCCCTATAATTTTTGCACTCTCTTTTGTCCCCCTTTGCCTTTATACAAAGGAACTATGCACACTCTCTGCCAATCCCTAGGTACCTTACCCTCTTCCATACATTCATTAAATAATAACACCAACCACTCCAAAACTATATCCCCACCTGCTTTTAACATTTCTGTCTTTATTCCATCAATCCCAGCTACCTTACCCCCTTTCATTCTACTCTCTGCCTCATGAAATTCCCCCACACTTGCAACTGGCTCCCCGTCACTCCTACAAGATGTTATTCCTCCTTGCCCTATGCACGATATCACAGCTTCCCTATCTTCAACATTTAACAGTTCCTCAAAATACTCCCTCCATCTTCCCGATACCTCTAACTCCCCATTTAATATCTCTCCTCTCCTATTTTTAACTGTCAAATCCATTCGTTCCCTAGGCTTCCTCAACTTATTAATCTCACTTCAAAACTTTCTTATTTTCAACAAAATTTGTTGATAACATCTCACCCCCTCTCTCATTTGCTCACTTTTTATATTGCTTCACCACTTTCTTAACCTCTCTCTCTCTCCATATACTCTTCCCTCCTTGTATCACTTCTACTTTGTAAAAACCTCTCATATGCTAGCTTTTTCTCCCTTACTACTCTCTTTACATCATCATTCCATCAATTGTTCTTCTTCCCTCCCGCACCCACTTTCCTGTAACCACAAACTTCTGCTGAACACTAACACTACATTCTTAAACCTACCCCATACATCTTCGACCTCATTCCCTATACACTCACTAGCCCATTTATCCTCCAATAGTTTATATCTTAACTCCCTCCTCTTTTAGTTTATAAACCTTCACCTCTCTCTTATTTGCTGCTTCTATTTTCCTTGTATCCCATCTATCTTTTACTTTCACTGTAGCTACAACTAGTAAGTGATCTGATATATCTGTGGCCCCGCTATAAACATGTACATCCTTAAGTCTACTCTACAGTCTCTTTACCAATATGTAGTCCAACAAACTACTGTCATTATGCTCTATATCATATCTTGTATACTTAGTTCTCCTCTTTTTCTTAAAATATGTATTACCTATCACTAAACCCCTTTCTATACAAAGCTCAGTCAAAGGGCTCCCATTATCATTTACACCTGGCACCCTAAACTTACCTACCACACCCTCTCTAAATGTTTCTCCTACTTTAGCATATAGGTTCCCTACCACAATTACTCTCTCACCTGGTTCAAAAGTTCCTATACATTCGCATAACATCTACACTCTTCTCTTCTCCAGGTGTGTACACACTATGACCCACTTTTTGCATCCGACCCTTATTTTAATCCACATAATCCTTGAATTTA